ATTTATATATGTATGTATAGATATGTATAGTATACTGTAATGACTTTAATTGCTGGACGTCCGGCCCCTAAGCTACTGGCTTTCAGAAACTGTGGACCCTGAGCAATGGTTTTGAATAGCCCTGCTGCAGATCATGACAAATCTATGTCAAAATATTCCTGACACCTCCTTGCATCCCTATGACGATACAATTGTTTATTGCCGAGCTAACACAGTTGCCAAACTTTTCCAGCTTCTACAGTCTGCATTTGACATCATTCAGTGAAAACTTTTTCATCCCAAAATGGTGCTAAATGCTGACAAAAACCAAAGGGATGTTTTCAAACAGAAAGTTGGTGCCAGTTCTTCCTCTTATCCCATCCATGCATGGTGTTCCTTTTGCGTATGTGGATTCTTACAAATACTTGGGGATTTTAGTTGACGCACATCTCTCTTTGGAGCCGCATGTTGAAAACTTGACAAAGAAACTAAAATTAAACTGGGTTTGTTTTTCCGAAATAGATCTTGCATAACTCTGAATGCCAGAAAACACCTTGTTACCGCTACCTTCCTACCAGCCATTGACTATGATGACATTATTTACATGAATTCTCCTGCCAGCTCCTTGCAGATGTTGGATGCTGTCTATCATGGGACACTAAGGTTCATAACTGGTTATAACTACTTTTCCCATCACTGCACCCTGTATGCATTGGTCATCTGGTCATCGTTATCTACACGTAGGCTCTCACACTGGTACATTTTCATCGTTAAATCACTTCTTGGTCTGCTGCCTTCTTATATCTCCTCCCACGTCACGTTGTCAGTGCAATTACTTTGTGCACTCTAAGGCCATCATTTCCTGCAGCATTCCTTCAGTGCAGACTGAACTTGGCAATAAGGCTTTTTCCTACTCTCCTCCTGCAACCTGGAACACCTTGCAGCAGGAACTGAAGTTGTCCACCTTAATTTCTTTAAGGGGTTTCAAACATTTTATAATGTCAATAGAAACATCAACGCAAATATATTCTTGCTTTTAGTATCTTACCTTGTTTTATAAAGCACCTTAATTTTACTGTTTTAAAACACTACTTCAATTTTAATTGCATTTGGTATGGTATAAAGTTTTAAAAAACAAAACAAAACAATTCCATAAACTATATAAAAAAGAGATTAAAAATGAAAGGCAGCAGAAAGAAGAAAAAATCTTATTATATCTGCCCCTTTTTTCAAACAATTATTTCAATCATAATAATTTTCAAGTAACAGAACAAAATGAATAACTCTTTCTAATTTTTCTAATTCTAATACAAAACATACACTAAGCTACTTCATATATACTTTTTTAACAATTCAGTTTTGATCTTTTTCTTAAATGTACACATTGACTTGACATTTTTCACATCACTCTCTAGAACATTCCACAATCCAACTCCTTGGATTGAGGTAGACCTTCCCTTCAGACTAGTTCTGAATGTTGGTTTGACAAATATTTCTATCCCCTTAACATTATAACAACTTTGTCTTTTAATAACATTTCTTTGGATATTTAATGGTAATGTGTTATTTTGAGCCCTATACATAACTGATAAAATACTGTAATCTACCAAATCATGGAACTTCAATAAGTTCAGTTGATAAAATAATGTGCTTGATGGGTGACTGTAATGCTTTCTGGTGATAATTCTTACAGCTCTTTTCTGTAAAATAAAAATAGGTTTTGTAAAAGTTTTACACGCTTTCCCCCAAACATCAATGCAATAGATTAAATGTGGAACAATGATTGTGTTATACAACATGTACAGAGCTTTATCATTTAATAATTCCCTGACTTTGTATAGTACTGCAATAGATTTAGATATTTTTGTTCTTACAGAATTGATGTGATTTTTCCATGTTAGCTGTTCATCAATGATTACACCCAAAAATTTCATCTCATTAACTCTACAAATCTCAACACCCTCAATTTTAAATGGATCATCAACAGTTCTCTTTTTGTTGCTAAATATCATGTATTTAGTTTTATCTAAATTTAATGATAATTTATTAAGTTTAAACCAAGTTTGTATTTTATTAAATTCTGTCTTCATCAGTTCCAACATCCGTTTTACATCTTTACCCAAACAAAAAAATGTGGTGTCATCTGCAAAAAGGACACATTTGAGGAGTCCTGATACATTCACTAAGTCATTCACATATAAAATAAATAACTTTGGTCCAAGTACAGAGCCTTGAGGAACTCCACAAGTGATATTGCACATGTCAGATCTTACACCATTTATTTGTACAAACTGTTTCCTATCTTTTAAATAGCTAGATACCCAGTGTAATGCTGGTCCTCTTGTACCATATTTATTTAATTTTTCAAGGAGAATAGTGTGGTCAATAGTATCGAATGTTTTTTTTAAATCAACAAAAATACTAACACAATACTGTTTTTGATCGACAGCAGTAGTTATTTGTTCCATTATTTCCATGAGAGCCATTGATGTAGAGTTTTTTGCTCTAAACCCATACTGACTGCTACTTAGAATGTTTTGTTTAGTAATAAATTTATCTAATCTGGTCACAAATAGTTTTTCTAGAATTTTTGAGAACTGTGGTAATAAAGCTATTGGTCTATAATTATTGAACACACATTTATCACCATTTTTAAAGAGAGGAACTACCTTAGCTACTTTCATATTGTCTGGAAATATTCCTTTTGAAAATGATAAATTACAAATATATGTAAACGGCTCGATAACATAACTCATTATGTCCTTTACAAACATCATATCCATGTCCACCCAGTCTTTTGATCTCTTATCTGTAAGATTTTTTACAACATTCATTATTTCTTCTTTGTCAGTTCCATTAAGAAAAATACTGTTGTCACAACTTATAACTGAATGGTTCACATTATTGTCTACTTTTGGTATTTTAGCTGCAAGGCTTGATCCAACGTTCACAAAATAATGATTAAATCCATTTACAATTTCATTTTCATCATGGATTTCATCGTCATCCTTCAAAAAATATTGTGAAATACCTGTTTTTGCTTTATGACTTTTCAGAACACTATTTATTACTCGCCATGTAGCTTTCATATCACCATTACTTTTATTTAATAAATCACTATAATATTCCTTCTTGTGTTTCCTTATAAGCATTTCTTGCTTATTGTTGTCTGTACTTTATATGGTGTCTGTGTAAAACAAGTCTCTCTTAAAAATCAGTCCTCATGACTCAATAACCTGTATAAATAAAGGTTGAATGAAAAAATTTGGTAATAAATTATGTGAAGCCAACTATGTCTGTTGGCAAAATATCTCATAAACCACAGGATCTACAACTAATCAACTTTTGTATTTCTTTTGCTTGTCCTGAGCTGGTTCTGCTGGAGGTTTCTTCCTGTTAAAGGGAGTTTTTCTTTCCACTGTCTCCACTGTGCTTGCTCAGGATGGGAGACTGCAACGAAGCCAAGATTCAACTTGTTTGCTGGATTCTTAGATAGAGAACTTTACTAACTGGCTTTTATGTGAATGTTCCTGTAAAGTGCCCTGAGACAATTTTGTTGTGATTTGATTTAGCGCTATAGAAATAAACTGAATTGAATTTAGTTGAATTTCACCTAATTAATATGGCTGCCACATCAACATTAACCCAAAATGGTTATAACTCAGTCAGATGTACAGATGTTGAGCTAACATTTGGTGTGGTAGTAGCTGACGGTCCGTCACTAAACAAACTCAAAATCATGCTTTTATTTTGAAAGTTTGCCCAAATTGTCCATGGCTTTATTTCTTACATGACATTATTAAACACTGACTGATGTTGGCAAAGTAAACACAAATGTTATTCAAATGTTCATTAATTCATCACGTGATGTACCATGGAACAGTTGAAAACAATCATGTAA